TGAACAATTAAGTCCTTAGGGGTGTTTCAACACTTAGTGCCCTAAGATCATCTGGTCTAGGAGTCGTTAGCTGAAAGTTCGTTACATGGGTGATTTAGAAAGCTTAATAGACCTAAAAATTGCATATATCCTTTTTGAAAAAATGTATACCTATGAAGAAAAATAAAATGCCTTAGGAGTTGAAATTTGAAAAGTTTGCCTGTGAATTGAGGAATAATAAGGAATGAATGCAAGTATGGACAGTAAGCCACACGTTGAATTGTAGGATCATTATCAGCAAGTGTTTCAGCAATTAAGATTGTTGAATAAATGATTAAAATGATATGTGGGGACTATGGTTGCTTAATTGAAATTGAAAGTTGAAAGTGATTCTGATTACATGATTGGTATACTTGTTGTATTTGACTAATTAATGAACTGTAGGGATAATATGATTTGAAAACAGGCTTGAATTAGCTTGATGTGCAATAAGGCACTGACATGAGAAGTTTGTGAGTATCTTCACTGGAAACCCTCACGAGACTATAACTTGTCCACTAGGGGTAACTCAGGATTTTAAAGGCTTGTTGCATAAGCTAAATACAACCGTGATTCCCATGAAAATTGCTTTTTAGTTCTATATTACTGAGGGACTAGCAATATGTAAGTTTTGGGGTGTGATAAGCGCTGAATATATGCATATTCGAGCTCCTAAATTCATATATGTTAAGGCCTAAAGTGATACTTCTATCCATAGTTAGACTAATTTATGTTTAATGTGCGTTTGTAGGTATTTTCCCAGAGAAATGGTTAAAACCGAGACTTTATAATGATATCAAAGCTTATAGAGTCGTTGCGGTCATTCAGAGCAAGCCGAGAGCTTAAATGGTGAAGTTTGAAGATATTCAAGCCTTAGAGCTTGAGCCCAAGTGTTGAGGCTCGAGTATCATAACAAGGAAAGAAGAAAAATCAACAAGGCTCAAAAGCTCGAGCCTCATACCTTGAAACTTGAGCCTTACCCTAAGGTGCTCGAGCCCTAACCAAAGGTGCTCGAGCCTTGACCCTCAAGCTCGAGCATGAGGCGTCGGAAATTAAAGAGTTGATTTATTTACAAGGCTATGCTCCCAAGTCTTGTGCCTCACCTCCAGGATCGAGCACCATCCATTAAGGATCGAGCACTAATAATTGAAGCTCGAGCCTGGTGTCCTGATGCTCGAGCCTGGTGTCCCAAATGCTCGAGCCTTGTACCAAGTCCTTAAGCCCAAGAAGCATGGATCGAGCAATGTTAAAAGAATCCAGTCCCAGAACTGCTAAGTGTTGAAGAAAAAGACGCTTTGGAAAATAGTTGAAGAAAATTGGCTAAGTGTCAAAGTAAAGATCGAGCACCATTCATTGAAGCTCGAGCATCCATTTAGAGAGGCTCGTTCCTGAAGCTCGAGCCTTGTGTTCCTGAAGCTCGAGCCTTCCATGACATGTCACATCTAAAGTACGGGATTGCTCTCTTAATCAGCCGTATCTCATCCCAGTTGGGCCAGAAGATCTAAAAGCCCACCAAATATTATTTTCTTCTAAAAAAGAAGGCGTAAGCCCTGCTAGAAGGGGTCCAAAATTTTAATCTCTTTACCGGTGTATTCATAAGGCTGAAGGTGTGGTGGCTTTTAGGGTTTCTATAACCTTAAGAGTGAAGATCCTGAGAAGAGAAGTGTCGTCCGTGACGAAGAAGATGAACTCAACACAGATGATATCCAACGTTGTCATAAGTAGCTAGTTCCTCTCTTAGGGCACTGATGTAACCCAACCTAAATACTATGGTTTGATTGTTTTAACTCTAGGATTAATTTTAATATATGTATTTTTTTTATTATATGACTATGAGTACTTGAGACAACTTAAGTGGTTTCCATGCTTTAATTGATTATAAACTATTACTACCTTGTCTTAGATGTAATAGTCTGTTTTCTATTCTCAACCTACCTTGTTGTACGGTATCCGGCGGAGCCTTACTGGACACAAGAATAGAGGTCATATAATGGTATTCCAATGTATTTTGCAAAAGAATGTTTTCATAGTCTATGCTTAGGGAAGGTGGATTGTTTGCAATATAGTTAACATAGTTAAAGTAGTTAGAGTAGGTAGGTGAATAATCCACGTTAACCGCAAATAGGTTATAGTTAGCTAATTTTGTAAAACATCTTCCTTTAAAACCCGAATTGAATGAATGTTATTGAGTTCAATTCCTTTAGAAAATATCATTATTAAATTCCCAGAGTTGAATAATTAACTGTAGTATACGGTTGTGGTGAAGTCAAAGCCCTAAGATTCCTCTCTCTCTCTGATCATTAAATTTATTTACTTTACTTTATTTAATTTTTAATTCAAGTTTGTTAAACCGTGACAACCAACAAACTTTCCAACCAAGTTACTTGTAAACCATAGAACAAAGTTAAAGACTAAATATAAATCTCTTCTCCCTGTGGGTTCGACATCTCTTTTTATAGCACTATTCTGCAAGGAATCATTCTATTGTGAGTAAAATTATCACAACACTGTATTGAGAGTGTATTGTGAGCTAAATATGAACACACTTTTTTGAGATTATATGTAATGATGAAAGCTTGATTTAAGCTCAGAAGATCAAATAAAGGCATGTAGTTCTGATTTCTACTGGTGCAGAAGCTAGATTCAAGGCCTTAGTTTGATTTGAGCTTGCTGTGGTGTTTGTATAAGGTTGAGGCAGTGTAACTTCATATTTTACTCTACAGAAAGCATGTTTATGACCATCTTTTAGCTGCTTTGATTTTGATGTCTTAGACCTATATATCAGCTTGATTTTCTGGTTTAGCTTGTTGATCTAAACTTATTATCACTATATCTTGTTATGAGTTGCATTTTTATCATCTGAGCAAGTTTATATAGCTGAATCAAGGCTGTTGAAGTTAAGGTTTACACAGTATTAAGGTCGATACAGTTTTTGACCTTGTGAAACCCTAGTTTTCAAGTTTCTGCAAAATTGAGCCTGTTATTGAGTAATATTTGTATACACATGCTATATTCAAATTGATTACCATCTGAGCATGATTGTAATGAAGATACAAGGTTGTGGATTCCATCTCTGAGGTTGTGGGACTCGAAATTACTATTTTGTCCCTCAAACCCTACTTTCAACAGAATGAAGACAGAGAGCCTGCGTTGATACTTTAAGCTTGTTTATCACTTTGATCTTATAATACAGCTTAAGTATTATTGATTGTAAACCTTTTTATGTATTGGTTGTGAGCTGTGAGTGCTTATTTGGTCCAAGCAAGGGTGTTGTGGACAAGGAGAGTGCAGTGTGCACTTAGTGTTGCTAGGGTGTGTGTAGAGAGTGAGATAGTTGAATGCCGAACTACGTACTCTCAAGAACCAAGGTTTTCCTTATTGAGAGGATTTTCCTTGTAAATGCACTGAGTCATATAAGTGTGTGTGGAGGCTTGTTGAATCTGTGATCATACTCACCATATTGCATTGATCATCCAAAGAAGAAAAGTTTATACAAGAACTAATTCCCCCCCCCCCCCCCCCTCTCTCAGTTCATCAAAAGTGGTAAAAGGGATGAAGTGGGAACCTAACAACGACAAGATGACCAGCCGAAATGAGGATTTCATCATCTCCCACACTCTGGCTATCCTTGAAACTAGATTCAAATGGAAAAGGTTGAAGTTTGACACTTTCTGAGATTCCATAGACTCTCTTAAGGGTCTTGAAATTAAAGGATTTTCTCAGATTATCTAAGACAACGAATTCTTCAAACTTCTGAAGTTAATTCCTCAACTTTAAAAGATGACTCATTAACTTTAGAGGTTGATTCGGACCTCTAATCCGATTAAATAAAATGAAAGCAAAAATCGATAGAGGCAAGAAGCGAAACACCACTAACCTGAGAGGATTTGGGAACAGACATGAATAAACTCAAAGCAGAGTCTTGAGGTAAAGGACCGTGAAATGAGACCCCCCGCCCCCCCGGCCGGTGTTTAGCACTTGAAGCAGCATCAAAAGAATACCAACGCTCTTAGTTTAAATCCCACAAGCCGCAATAACCGTCCCAAATTTAGTTCCCTTCAAATTGGGATCGTTACCCAACTTTGGAGGGAAAATTCCACTCTAATCGAAACCAAGCACCTATACAAGTGAAGGACCAACGAGGAGGAAGCACGTGGGTAAGTCCAAAGTGAAATAATAGGCCTGAGCCCATTGGTCCCATTGGCCCAATTCACTAATAGAAGACAATCCAAGCCCAATACCGAAGCTAGCAATCCTGCATAGTAAAGGAAGCCGTAAACTTGAAACAAGTATATGATATATAAGGAAATAGAGGCCTAATGGGAAAGAAAAACAGAAAAGGAAAAAGCTCAAAGGAAGAGCTAGTCCTAGACTAAATCAAATATTATAATTATTATAAATAAGGGTAGATACCCCCCAATTAGAGCTTCCTGAGTTTCTCTATCATAACTTTTGATTATTGTCGTTTTCTTTGATGGAGTGGGTTGTTTTTATTTTGTCGATCATCGTTGCGTACACAGATTTTTGCACCTACGTCAATGGATTTATATACTGACATTGGCCTATATGTGTCTTATCATATGTGCGGTTTCACCAGCCGGTGACGCGTGTGCAGAGAAGAGAAAATAGAGGAGATCAGTGGCTCTCAAATAAGTAGGACATTGTTGAGTTGAGTTGAATTTTAAATGCAAAAAATAATGCTCATGTTTTTTATTAACACAGTACACATCCTAGATCAAACCAAAAGACACTAGAATTCTTTAGAGACGGATTTAAAACGAGCAAACTCACGTGCAGTTCTTATTTCTTTCAAAAGCTGTGAAAAAAAATAATAATAAAAAAAAAATAAAAAATAAAAAAAGTTGGAGACCACACTTGACATTGCTATTTCGAGTTATCGTGTCTCAATTGCTTGATCATCTTTTGGGAGCCATTCTTTGGCCCCATAATATAAGCTTCATAAAACCATCAAAACACCTCAATTACCTACACCCAAACAGATCAAATCATACAGGATTAAAATGGTGCATTACAATTAAAATGAAATGCTGAACCCATTGGGAAGTGGCAGAAGAAACCATCCATCCAAAAAACGTGGCAGAAAATCACCCATCACTTGTCAATATGAAGGTGAGAAGAACAATGGTAAGGGCAAAAAAAATGGTTGCTCCAGAAAACAACAACATAGCCTTGTTCTTGCCGCTCGGCCTCTCTTGATTGCCCAACTCAATTTCCTTCAGAAGCTCCCTCACTTCTTCTATATCGAAGTCTTTTGCTGCTTGGAGCAGTCTCCCTTGAATCTTCTCAAGCTTATTTAGTCTAGAAGCTCTGGATGCATCCTTGGCCGGCCAGATAAAACCAGTCACCATCCATAGGAGAATGCCAACATAGATGGCCACAATAACGTCAACACTGTAATGGTGTCTTTCCCTTATTTCTCTCTGGGCACTGTGCATTACAAGTAACCATATAAAACCAGAGCTAAAACCTCCATATGCTTCCTGCAATCGAATACCAGATATGAAGAAGGCCAACAAGGGTCAGTGATTCAACGAAAACCTATAGCATGGTGACTACTGGTAGTGGGAGAATGCTCAATTTACATTTGTATATCATATTTACCGTCCAAGCCATGGCTGTCAGTACAGCAACAAGCATGTGGCCGCTGAATACGAGGTCATTACAGCCGCCTTCAGCTTTCTTTAGAAGATTGTACCACGAAGGTCCTTCGGAAGCATGTGGCCGCAGGAAATCAGCTAAGAAGCTCATTGAGCCCCAGTCTGGACGGTTGTCACCAATGTATTCTCCAGCATCAGCTGGAAAATAATGAATGGAAATGTTAATAACATCACGTTCTTGTAAAATAGGAAAAATACATGGCAGATTATAAGACAACTTTAACAGCAGAGAACAACGCAGAACTTCCAAAGAAGGAATATGATATAAATTTTCACTATTCTGTGTTGAAAACAAATTGACAAACTCCCCGTTTTATGAATAGTAGAATTTGCTGGAGAAATTTCATCATCACTTTAGGAGGAATCTTTTTAAGCCTGAGAATATTTTCTAAAGTAGTCCTAAAAGAGCCAGAAAACTAAACACACAAGATACTGTGTTTAGTAACAGCAAATATCATATTAATGTCTGGCAATCAGGTACTGAAGATACCTCTCTCACTCTCTCTCTCTTCTCTCTCTCTCCCTTGAGAAGAGGGAGAATGAAAAGTACAAACACAATTCACCACTTCAAACATAGAGAAGACCAAACACAGGAGCAAACAGGATCTTATCGAGCACATACCATAAGCTATATCATGATAAATAATCTGGCGTATAGCATTAGCATCTGAAGCATAAGGGACATAATATTTCTGAGCCCAAAGATGAGGGTATGCAGGGACTTTGAATCTAGCTGACGCACACCAAGGCCGAGCTGATGGCAGAACTGTAGATACAAAACTTATGGTCCGAAGAAGCCGCCCAATTGCCATGGTGAAAATGTACCTTGCACCCAGCCCAAGACCAGGAGCTTTTACAGAGTCAAATAGTACTGAGAAAGCAAGCATTATGAACAACATAAGGAAATGGTGCAGTCCAATAATGCGGGCTCTCAATATTTCAACTATTGTGTGAGGAAGTTTTTCATTCAATGCCAGCAGCAACCATTGGCCAGTGTCAGGAAGAGGTCGAGCATCACTATCAAATATTTAGACAGCAAAAAAGTTAACCATTGCTAAATGTAGCCAACATATAAAGTGGAAGTAGTAGGGAAAGATCGTAGTGTTGCCTAAGTACATATTACCTGACATATATGAATTAGATCATACTGAGAAATTTAATGGAATGGTAGTTACAACTCAATTTGAGATCAGTAAGTATTCTCTCTTCTGCTTAGACACCAGTGTGAGATTGTAAAATCCAAGAAAATTTCAAGAGTTCTAAGTTGCTGTATTTTCAGATTATGGTCAAATGATTCTCCAGGGAATGAATTATAGCACATATTTAACAATTTGAAACCTAATTTGGGTACTTAATAGCTTAGAATTTCTGTGTGTTAGCAACAAGAATGTTGCCTTGAAGATTGAACTGCTTAATTAATAATTAGTAAATCTCTAGTAGGTCATATTACAAATCTCGGTCCAACTGTTTTCTTGAGCTTAATAACTGTCTTGAGATCAATAAACATCATCTATTCCATTTCCAGTCGCTCATGTAAGATTGTAAAATCCCACAAAATTTCATGAGTTTTAAGTGACTGTATTTTCAGATTATGTACAAACGATTCTATACTTAGTCTTTTAACAATTTGACACTAAAGTTGGGTCCTCATTAGCTACAGGGTTCTCTGTGTTAACAACCTCGATTTTTTCTTGAAAATCCAAATGCATAGTTAATAGTTAGTAAAGTAATTAGGGACCATATTAGAGACTTGGTCTAACTGTCCAATTTTCTTGAGCTTAAGAACAGTCTAGAACTACCACCACTACACTACTACCGTTAGTGGTAGTAGTGGTTCTCTTCTTATGTATCCTATTACTTTTTTCCCCAATTGGTCCACATTTTTCAGAACTTTCACTAAGTTAAAACATTATGCAATGGTGTTCCAAGAGGTTCTTCTACAGATAATTTTTATTTTCTTATTACTCATGGGGTAAATCTTTGATTAACTCAATTAATATCAAATATGATTATGTTTTTCCTAGTCTAATCCTCAACCATACTAATTCTAAGAACAAATGTTCTCAATAGCCAAACACAATGATCCACATGGAAGTCAGCATTTCAAATAACAAGGATTCCCCTTCTCATCGACATGGGAGCTTTGTCGCATGCTGCTTATCTAAAAGATCGACAGTAGCTAATCAGCTTTAGTTAAATGAGAAAATTCTACTTAATTTTATCCTTCATGAACAATTACACTATGACAAAAGAAATGGTATATCAAAGGTAGGCTGATTCGTTTGGTCATTTTTTGTATTCAGAAAAAGTAGAAGGGACTTCTAAAATTAAATGAAACTTTTGATCCTATATCAAGTCCTAAATTAACCTTTTCAATTTCGGAGAAGCTTTTAAACTCAAGAGCAGCATTCATAAATTTATTTTCAAGGAGAAATTTGAATTTAGAAGTTTCAATAATGAAAATACACATGTACCGATATCTAGCCATCATTATATCTACATGCAAAACAGAGAGGTCCTTTTGATTTGTTCACTGCCCCTGTGAATAATAACAAGCAATAAAGCCACATTTGCAACCTCCTAGTTCTATGGATGATCTATAATGAAATTAATCTCCTAGAGGAGTATACTATAATTTTTTAAAAGCTTACCTTTACCAGAATTGTGGCCATATCTCAAACTACTACAAGCTTATTACTTTCCAGCCATAATATCGCTCCCATTTCTAAGTCAGACAAACCATCAAAATCTATTTCACTAACAAGCATTTTAACGCAATATATATCACAAAAAATAATCCTGAAGAATGAGCATTAGACATTTAATCCTGTAAATGTGTACATATATCTTAACTTAAAGATGTATTTAATCTGCGCTTCACTGAATTCCTTGATGATCAAAACTTGAGATTAGGATTTCACGTCATGCATTGTCAATGTGAAATTAGGGCATCAACATATGACCAACCAGAGAGATGCTGTGATTGTATTATAAGAATTTGGCAGTCACCCAGCAAGAACTTCATATTTAGCTGAAAATATGAATGCTGCATAAATTGTCACTCACACACTTTAATGCCATGTTCAATTCTTCATCACCGTCCAACTTCCAGAAATAATTTTAAATAATGCGTTAACAGAGCACTACTAGGAAAAAAATTCATGGTATAAGGCAATCCATGGTACATGATTATTAAATGTGCTTCTATTACCATGTCCTGAAACATGCATTTTCACTCAATGGAACTCAACCCACACTTGTACAAATTTCCTCACAAAAAACACCGAAGAATCTCAGGTAAAACTTCCATGATATCCAAAATTCATTACTAATTCTAGCTAAAAATCATTGCCTTATTTGGTCAATAATGATATGAAAATCAACTGTCAAGCCTTAGTTTTAACAATTGAAAAAGGAAAATATCAGAGTATCCAAAATTCTATTTCACTACTAAATTTATCCACAATCTCAGATGAACTGGAGCATTTCAGATCTAACAACGATTCAATCCCTAGTCAATGAAGGTTTAACTAAAAAATTATCACCAAACCCTAGCATCCGAAAATCCATACAAACTGGTAACTACTTTCTATGTAAAACTTATCAAATCAAATCCTAATTGAATATTAATGAAACTGAATCCATTAAAATAAGTCCACATTAGAACACACCCAATCAGCTCAGGATAAAAAATAAAAAAAAATAAAAAAAGAAAGAGTCAAATCGGGAAACCCTCGTTCAAGATTCACAATGAAACCTTTAATTCACCCAAATAAGAACTAAATAAACAAAGACAATAAGCAAATCAAACAATAAAAGCCACAAAAGCAACACTGTGGAAACCAATGATCGGTAAAAGATTCAACTATGAGTTATAAACCAAGGTTCATTCCGAGTTGAGTTTTAGCTGAGAGATATACATATACGCATACAAATTTTACACGCATATTATATATATATATATATACACACACACACACACAGACATATATATACATTACCGGTGCCAATCGAGGCCGAGAACGGCGGTGACAGAACGGACGGAGAGAGATTCGAAGAGCAAGGTGGAGAGCAGGAAGATGATGCTACCGAGGAACGGGAGAGCGGAGCGGAGCTCGGCAGACCAGTGTTTGTAGGAAGGAACGCGAACGATGGCGACAAGAGCGAGAAACATCCAAAGAGCCGGCTGAAGACTCGCATGCCAAGACGGCGACAGATGGCGCAGGTAGTCGATGCCGACGTAAGAAATGGCGGCCAGGCCCAGACCGCCGCCTCGGTTCTTCAAGATCGCCGCCGGCCATGGCGGTGGCGGCCACCACCTCATGTCTCTTTTAGTGGCCGCGTGATTGATGAAAAAAGTCTCAGGTGCGTGTTAGTGGAGTGTTGCAGGTGGAAGGGTGAGACTTTTAAGTGAGAAATTTTAGTTTTAACAATAGTGTGATTTGTGACACTTTCCAAAAAGAAAAAAAAGTGATTACTGATTTGTGAGCACATTTAATTACAAGACAGATAATAAATGTCAAAGCTTCTTAGAACTTAGAGCTTCTTAACTCTTTAAATAACCTTTAGCTCGGTTTGATTTGTTTAGTTTGGTAAAGAAAGATAGAATAAAGTTAAAAGAGGACAAAATGAATTGTTAATTTTATTTAGATTAATTTCATTAAACCCCCTTAATTTTTTTCTCTCTCAAAAAATTAATGAGCTATTATTTGACATTTAACTCTAATAACACTAATAATAATAAAAAAAATCATTAAGTCACAGTTTGAAATCTAACAAAAATTAACATGTATGTCAAGTGAGGGCAAAAATTTTTAAAAGACAAAATTGACCTATATGGCATTTGTTGAAGCATGATTCTACACGGCCCGAAATGACACCGCTTTCTTGCAACATAAGATATAAGTCTTGACGGTAATGTGTGACGCTTACCAAGATCTCTCCGACGATCAAATCAGTCACCGAAACTTTGAAATAAAGGCAAGAATTTAATATGTCGTTTTTTCTCGTACTTCTTTGTTAAGCTCATTCTTATAGATGGCGATCCTTCAGTCTGTTCCGATCTGTTGGGAATTTGAAGAGACTTGTTGGGATTTGAGTAGATTGGTTGAGATGGAAGAGATTCCTCCGTACTTTGATTGAACTTTGTAACCTGATTCTAATCATTAATTTAATCTTTAAACTAGTTAATCGGTTAGATTACCTCCTATTTCAAATTATGCTTCCCAACATTTAAGACCTAGAAGACGATATATTTGTGTGTGTGTGTGTACATATGTATTATACGTGCACAAAATAGAAAACTTCCATTTTGTTGGTCAACAAACCATCGACAATTGAAAACCAACATCAAACCATTTGCAATTGAAAACCCTCAACTCAAGCTTTTCATGGTCAACAAACAATCGGCAATTGAAAACGTCTATTTTATGTCAATAAATCATTTGCAATGGATACACACACCATATATGTATATGTTATATGTGCAGAAAATTGAAAATCCCCAATTGATTACAAGAACCCTCCAAGTGATATGCTCATGTTTGTTCCAACCCACGGAAACCCCTACCACTCCATCACCACCACCACCCATCAACCTTCAATTTCAATAAGAAAAAAAACAAAAATTCTAATGTGATAATTTTGTCTAAGAATGGAAAAAAAAAAAAATCAAATCCATAATTTTTCTTGGGAGTTGTAAATACATGCGGGCCAGGAAAGCTACAAAATCACTCTTCTTTGTTTCCATATGTTGTGTTTTTTGTGGAGTCTGATCACGTGTTAATAACGTGAAGTTTTTTGGGAAACAAATGATTTTAATATTTTGGCTACTGGAACGTTTAAATCGGTTCAAGAGTTTTGGAACCGGTTCCATAGCCAAATCAATGAAATGTTGAAATCAGCCACTCTCCAGTGAGAACCGGTAGCCAATTCTTTGTACAGTGGCAGAACATTACAGAAGTTTTTGTGGAACAAGTTGAACTGGTTCCAGAAAGGCTGAACCGATTTAACTCTTCTGGGAAGCTACATGATTTATTTTCCTTCTTGGAATTGAACTCTACAAAAAACAATTCTTGTGGGATAAGTTGGGTTCTATTGTCTGGGGCTATAAATATCAACCCTAATCAGTATTTTTAGGGTGTGAAGAAATGTGAAAGAAATTTGTGCCAACACAAGAAAGAGCATTTGAGAGAGATAGAGAGAAAATTCTCCTTGTAATTCTTCATTTTTTTCATAGTGAATTTGTTCAGTGTGCTCCATGGACGTAGCCCTAAGATTTGGGTGAACTATGTATATCTTGTGTTCTTGTGTGTGATTTTTTTTAATCATTTTTTCTTTATAATTGCTTGATTATTTCTCGAACAGCACGCGTTGTTATTTTATGTTTTCGCCACAATAACTGGAATCAAATTCGGTTGATTGTGTAGAGTAACTCCAATAACTGGTATCAGAGCCTTTAGTTGAGAACCTAGGGCACAGAAGGTGTTTGACAAAATTTCGAAAGTCTTTCGATCAGATCTGTTTGTTCGAGTGGGAGTAATGACATCAGAAGATAAGACATCCACATCTATGATCGAGTAGTTTGATGGCACAAACTTCAGTTTCTGGAAGATGTAAATAGAAGACCTCTTGTTTCAGAAAAATCTATATCAACCTTTAGGAGAGAAGCCTGAGGATACAAAGGATGCAGATTGGGAATTACTTGATAGGAAGGTTCTTGGCAACGTTAGATTGACATTGTCAATCACCTTTAACATCAAGAATAAGAAGACGACGATGTCTCTCATAGCAGCCCTTTCTAGTATGTATGAACAACCTTCTGCAGCGAACAAGGTGCACTTGATCAAGAAGTTGTTCAACATGAAGATGGTCGAAGGTGGTAAGTTCAACGAACATCTAAATGTGTTCAACGAGATAGTTGGGCAATTAGAGTCTGTTGATATCGACTTCAAAGATGAGGTCCAAGCACTGCTAATTCTAAGGCAGTTACCTGAGAGTTGGAGTGGCACAGTTACAGTGATCAGTAGCTCTACAAGGAAGACCAAGTTGAAGTTTGATGAAGTTTTGAACATGATTCTGACTGAAGAAATCAGAAAGCAAACAGCAGGGGTTTCCACCAGTGGTTCGGCATTGAATGTTGAAAGTAGAGGCAATGGTTCAAACAAGAAGAAGGGCAACAGTAATAGAAACAAAGACAGATCCAAGTCAAGGAATGGAAGGACACAGTCTCAAAATTTCAGGAATTCCACATATCTCAGTGATGTTGAGTGTTGGAATTGTGGAAAAAAAGGACATTATCGTTTTGATTGTAGACTTCCAAAGAAGGGAACTGAAAGAAAAACTGAAGCAAATGTTATCTCAGAAGAATTAGGTGATGCATTAATATGCTCTTTGGAGAGCAAGGCGGAGTCATGGGTTTTAGATTCCGGCACATCGTTTCATGGTACCTCAAGCAAAGAGCTATTTAATAGCTATGAACTGGGCAACCTTAGCAAGGTCTATCTTGGTGATGATTAGCCTTGCAGTGTCTTTGGCAAGGGTGAAATGCAAATCAAGTTGAATGGGTTAGCTTGGAAGTTGAAGGATGTGAGATACATCCCTGACTTGAGGAAGAATCTGGTTTCGGTGGGACAATTGTCAGATGAAGGTTTTGTTACTACCTTCCATGGAGACTCGTGGAAAGTTTCTAGAGGTGCAATGACCATTGCACGTGGTAAAAAATCTAGCACTCTCTACACAACTACCAGTGCTTGTGGGTCTATAGCAGTTGCAGAAAACAGAGAAGACCACAATCTTTGGCACCAGAGACTAGGTCACATGAGTGAAAGGGGACTCAAGATTATGCACTCAAAGGGGAAACTACCAGGCATATAGGCAATTGATATCGACTTCTATGAGAGTTGCGTGATGCATAAGCAGAAGAGGTCAGTTTCAAGAAAAGTGGTAGAGATCTCAGAAAGGAGAAACTTAAGTTACTTCACATAGATGTTTAGGGGCAAGCCATTATCTCATCCATTGGCGAAAAATCCTACTTCCTAACTTTCATTGATGATCACACGAGAAAGGTATGGGTTTATTTTTTGAAGCACAAATCTGAGGTATTTGATGTGTTCAAGAAGTAAAAGGCCATGGTGGAGAATGAGACAGGTTTGAAGATCAAGAGGTTGAGGTCAGACAATAGTGGTGAGCATGAAGACACTAGGTTTAAGAAGTTCTATTTTGATAATGGGATCACACTAGAAAGGATTGTGCAAAGAACCCCACAGCAAAATGGGGTGGCAGAACAGATGAACCGAACATTGACAGAAAGAGCCAGAAGCATGCACATACATTCGGGTCTACTCAAACAGTTTTGGGCAAAAACAGTCAATACAACATCCTACCTAATTAATCGTAGACCATCGGTGCCTTTGGAGCATCGAATACCAGAAGAGGTATGGAATGGCAAAGAGGTAAATCTTTCATGGTTAAAAGTTTTTGGTTGTATTGCATATACACATATTAGTGACCATGCTAGGGGAAAGCTCTACCCCAAGTCACTAAAATGCATCTTCGTTGGGTATGGTGGAGATGAGTTTGGTTATCGACTCTAGGATAATCAAAACAAAAAAAATTATCAGAAGTAAAGATGTGATTTTCAACGAGAAGGTGATGTACAAGGATAGAGATACAACACAGTTAACTAGTCCTGTATAGAGTAAGCCTAAGTTTGTTAAGTTGGATGATGATCCAGAGAGTACTGACGCAGAGCAAACAGATGAAGGTTCTTGGCCAGAACTCACAAAGCATAGTTCACCGCAAATTCTAACTCTTATGCCTGCACCCAAAAGGTCTACGTGACCTTATGTACCGAATAGGAAATATTTAGATTATATGTTGCTCATAGATGATGGTGAGCCTGAATGCTATGATGAAGCATGTCAGGTTGAAGATGCTAGCAAATGGGAGCTTGCAATAAAATATGAGATGAAGTCCCTTATCTCCAACAAAACATGGGAACTAGCCAAGTTGCCCATGGGGAAGAAAACACTTCACAATAAATGGGTGTACAGGGTGAAAAATGAACATGATGGTTCCAACAGATACAATGCGAGAATACTGGTCAAAGGCTTGCAGCAAAAGCAAGGCATTAGCTACACAGACATTTTTTCCTCTGTTGTGAAATTGAGTACCATTTGCTCAGTTCTTAACATTGTTGCAGTAGAAGGGTTGCGCCTCGAGCAGTTAGATGTCAAAATTGTTTTCCTCCATGGTGACCTTGAGGAGGAGATTCACATGCAACAACCGGAGGGTTTCTCAGTCAAAGGGAAAGAGAAACTAGTATGCAAGTTGAAGAAAAGCTTATATGGTTTGAATTAAGCCCCGAGGCAGTGGTATAAGAAGTTTGATGGTTTTATAAAGCGACATGGTTACAACAAGTGCAATGTTGACCATTGCTGCTACTTTAAGAGGTT